ACCTCTAATCTTATTTGTAGTTTTCCATTAAGTCTAATATATTTAATTTTCTGATGAAAAAGCTAGTAATCGGAGAATAATAGGTACTCGTAAATGTTTTCTTGCTCTGCTGTAATTTTTTAAAAATTGAGGTTTTTCTTGAGGAATTCACGTGGAATTCACAAATGTCCGTTAATAGAAAAATATAAAGTTTAAATAAGTCAGAATTAAAAAAGTACAAAAAATAAATCCTCTCTGCAAAGACAGAAGGCGTTCAAAACCGGAGGGAAGCCTTCAAGTGCTTCAGATATCTTCTCTCTTCTTTTAAAAAAATTAAAATATCTACATAAATATCATGTAAAAGTAAATTGTGTTTAGCATCTTCTGTCATCGAATGAAACTATCCATCGAATACTCGTAAGCGGATAAAAATATAATTATAATAAATATATTATGATATCGATCGTCAAAGAGATAGGTAGAGTTATTCCTCTGGTATTCAAGTTATTTATTAAATAAAGTATAATTGACAATTGAAAAATACATTTAAATACTATTTATCTGTTTATCTAGGGATTAAAAAATCTATCCTAAATCCTAAATACGATGGAATTTTATAATTTAATTTTTATTAACTCACCAGTGCCCGAATAATCAGAGTTTTTGCTGACGTATGAGGAACCAATGACAATACATTAATTTCATGAGTATGACCTAGATCTAGGATCATCAAAGATCATAATCGATGAGTGTTATTTATGATTTTTTTTTAATTCTTATATAGGGTAGGGTCAAAAGTACTCAGATACCTAGACGTGCATGCATGAAGAAGATAATGAATCTGAAAGAAGCGAAAGAGGTTTGTAAGGATCGTGACACTTGGCGATCTGTTCTCTCTGGCTACCCCGTCAGGGATTGTGCGTGAAGATAAGTAAGTATATATATTCACATATTTTTTAGAGTGACCGATGCCTATAAAGGTATGAAAACAATAATATGTTAGTTCAGTCTTCACCCACTTTGGATGTCCGAATAATCAGAATTTTTGCACACGTCAAAGGAACCGATGACAATACTATAATTTCCAGACATTACGACATCAGTATTCTTAGGTACTAAGATCATTACAGCACATAATCAATGTGAGTTGTTTTAGTTTTTATAAGTTCTAATTATTTTCTTCTTTAGTATATTACGTTTGCTATATGTATCACATTTGCTTTATAAAAAGACTTTCAATATAAAAATATCTATCTATTCTGTTCATGACGTATAAACCTTACTTACTCCTACTTTCCATTTTTAATATATAAATAATGTTAGTAATTATTATTAAAAATGGAGTAGTATTATTACAATAAATTGAATTTAGCATAAAAATTCTAGAACTCTTGCCGTTTTTTTCCTTCGTTTTCTTAAACGAAGCATATTTATTCTATTACGAGGTCGCAAGAGTTATGAATATTCAAACGTAGTTTTTACCCGTAACGGTGACATAAAATTTGTATTGTTCTTTAAAAAATAGACGTTCCATAACAATTATTTGTACGGACAAAAGAATATGTTATTTTGAATCATGTTTAGTTTGTTCTCGCTACCGTATTGCATGCGAAATTACTTTAGAGTATCACTTATATAACCAAGTTATGCTTTTTTGGATTTATAATAAATATATTATTTTACGAAATATTTTCGTTACATACACATATAAGATTTTTTACAACGTAAATATCGTACATATTATATAAGACATTTTCTGAAAGGTAAACATAGATACGTCCAGATCCAGAGTAGGAAATGTCCAAATTTAGAAGAGACAATGTTAATTATTTGTCTGTGTTCATTTTACAGTGTATAATGTTTATCTTTAAATTAGAAAGTAATTTAAAAGATAAATGAATATATCTATATCTTATGAGGTTTAATAAACATAATTATATAGTAAACTTAGTGATTTTAGATCCCGTAGCCTCCTCAGTGGGGATGAGGTTCATATATAACGGAAGTTTTCATGAGGTGATAAGGGAGAAAAAAGTAATTTACAGTCTACAGAGTAATGTGCTTCACTGCAGAGCATAGTCCTCTAATTCACAGATTATATATACGTTCCACCACAAGACACAGGCCTTTTATATACAACCTATGTACCTACGTCCCATCGCAGGTAACAGGCCTCTAATTTATGAAAGAGTTATGAAGCCACATTCATTATCAGTTCGCCACGCCGTTCCAACGTGAGTTGACCGATTTCACATCCATCCATCCATCCATTACAGCCTATAAAAGTGCACTGCTGAAAATAGACCTTCTATGAGGCATTCTAATCTATAAGGGATAGAGGGGTTTTTGCCATACGCATGTGGGTTGGCAATCGCATTTTTTATAATTTTGAGCTGTTTTCAGGAAGATGCTGCTGCCCATCTTCAGTTTCAGTTTCCCTATGTTGCCTCTTATGATACACACGAGACAATATATGGTAGTGGATATTTACCCGCCGCTACACGTTTAACACTACTTTTTTATAGGAGAAGGGGACGAGCGCATAGTCCACTTGATGGTAAGTTGCTGCAGCCCATAAATATATACATATTTTCGCGATCACGAATCAAAATGCAGATGCGTTGTCACCCGTGAGGACTAAGATAGAATGCCTCCTTTCCAGTAAAATATAGACTTTTGTTACTATATATAGACTTTAGGTTTTTGTTAAGCTAAGACAGTGCGATTTACCATCTAAGGCTGCAACACCACTTACCACCAGTAGGATTGTGGTCAAGCACTGGCTATAAGTAAAAAAGGGTCTCCTGTTCTTTACACTTACCATACGAAACACAGCAACATTAAGCTGCTATTTTACGCTGGTATTCTTTGAGAGCGTGGTCCTTCCCCGTCCGAGCCCACCCATTCGTGGTGCAACTATAGTACCACGCGCAGCTAGGCTTTAAAATGTTAACACGGAATAAAATATTTATCATTTACTCACGATGATTTTCTTCACCGTCGAGCAAGTAAAATCAGCACATGTAATTACAATGAATAACGTTATTAGTGCCGGCAAAGATTTGATGGGTTCAATACTGCTACATGGTCAGCTCTTTAGTGCTTGGGATCACGGCTCAATTTTGTAGCACCGAAGGCTTATAAATGTATTTTTCCGACGAAAACAGAGAGGTGGTATATGTTTGTAGTGTGTATCTGTGTCTGTATGTGGCATCACAGTTCCTGAACGGATGAATCGTTTTTTATTTTTTTCGTTCGCAAGGTGTCTTAATCGAAAGTGTTCTTAGCGATGTTTCAAGAAAATCTGTTCAACCGTTCGAAGATCATCAGCTCCTTTTGTGTCATGGGTTTTTAAATTTTTTAAATTATAATTAAAAATTAAAAATTTTGTACACCGACGAATTCAATATAAATTATTAAGAATAACTCTAAAACTATTAGTCAGACCTTGATCAAATTGATACGGGACCACATGTGAAGTACCAGCTTTCAAATAAAAAAAGAATCATCAAAATCGGTTCCCCCAGTAAAAAGTTATGAGGTCACACATAAAAAAAACATACAGTCGAATTGAGTACCGGCTCCTTTATGAAGTCTGTAGAAAAGCCTTCTTTGTAGGTAAAATATATCTCTTGTGATTCGTCATTTTTGAAGACGTTTTAAATTAAAATTATTTTAAAAAATTTGACTAAACGTAGTTTACATAAAAGTAAATGTTTTTGAACGTTTAGTCGACTAAGCGACTATTGTGTGGTTTAAATGGAATTTATAATTAAACTCATAAAATGAGATAAAATTGATTTTTTAATGTATCCAGCGCACAAACACTCCTTTTGGTTACAATTTCACTTTTTATTATTATACTATCTCTTTTAGGCTTCGTGTACAGAAAACAATATGACACGCATACACACACATCCCTATATAATTTATTATTTCGTCATTATATTCTAAATCACTTCAAAACATCCGGGGCTTACTTATTACACAACCATAATTAGCAAAGAAATTACAGCAAATCTCATTTGACTCGATACAAGTTATAGATTAAAAATAAATAAATAAAATAAATCTGTTTTTTTTTTTTACCGATACAAATACACTTTTATTAACTTAATGTTGTTACAAAATGTAGTCTGATACTACATTTTCTGGTCTATAACTATATTGTTACAATTAATAGGTAACTTCACCGTATCTTTCGAATGTACACAAGTTCTTACTATTAGATTATTGAACAAATTCTGTACAACCGACTTCAATATAAATAAAATGAGAACGTCATCAATGTAGTTGAAGTCAATTAAATAAGCATAAGGATAACTCAAAATAACTTCAAAAACTACTGATTCGATCTTGATTAAATTTATATGGGACCACATGAGAAGTACTAGCTTTCAAATAAAAAAAAGAATTATCGAATCATCACCTAGAAAAAAGTTCTGAGATAATACACAAAAGAAAATACAGTCGAATTGAGAACCTCATCATATTTTTGAAGTCGGTTGAAAAAAAGACTAAATTGATTCGTATTACTATTTGTTATAATTTGTACTTATATAAATTATTACAGTCTTAAATACATTGGTCATTAGTTCCTAATTCGTTTGCATAAGCTAAAACACTTCAATACTGTACTATGCTACGTACTACGTTCTACAATCACTGAACACCATACTAAGTTGTTCAAGTTTATAACTAATTTTGGCATTTATAGCTACAAACTATATCTATACTATTTACATTTCTTTGTATCTCAAGTCATAATAAAAAGCTTGATCTTATGATGTGAAATTTAGAAATTCTTTCATATCCACTTATAAACAAGAATGTGTAAGAATGTGGAAACATCCAATTATTTTATCACGTTGGCTGTATGTACTCGTACTTTAAAATGTCTTTGGTTTTAAATATAGAACACAAGAGTTTCGAGTGCACTGTTGTTATAATTCGGACTTACCCTATCCATTTAGAGGCTATTTTGAACTCGTTGACTAGGGTTAAAAACAGTAAATACGAAACTAGGCGTGCTGAGCGCGACCGAGATGAATAAAGAACGCCACGCGATCTGCGCTCCTCTCCCCGCATTTGTTACACATGAACGGATCGTTGTAACCGTGAAAACCCATGTGGATGGTATGCATAGTTAGATCACCAAAAGTGATATCGCAGTACTGACAGGAGTACGTACTTGGAGCAGTCGATGTAGGTACGTCTGCCGAACCATCAGACTCTGATCCTGATGCCTCTCCGTCGCCAGTTTTGTCGTCCTCGTGTTGGAGTCTGAGCGCGGCCGGTTGCAACTTGAATGCGCGGCCTTTTCGTCGGTTTTTCAATGAAGTTGTGGGAGTCAGTGGTGTAGATCTTTCAGTGGGTAGCGGAGACCCAGCTTCGCTGGTTTTAGTGTTTGTGAGATCGAGTGCGTCATTAACTTGAGCTGGAGTAGTGCTACGAGGAGCGGTTGGGGTGTGTGGTAAACTGGTTGATGATTTAACTGGAGATGATATTGTATCGGCTTCTGACGGTCGCTCCCCGTACGAAAGACGTTGCTGTAGTATCGACTGGGGCGATACAGGTTGTCGTTTATCAGAAACCGTATCAGGTATGGGTGACGTCCGCTGTTCATAATTGTTGTTCGGCGGGAATAAGAACGAAGGAGGTAATAATGGTGGTAAATAAGGAGAAAGGTTGACAGGGAAATGACTGCCGAAAAGTGGATGTGACGTCGGAGGAGGATGTTGAGAGCTGTTGTTCATGGCAGACTGTTCAAACATCTTCGACAGAGGCTTTTGTTTTGGTCCACGACGCGTCCCATACACATCAATTATGGGCAGTGGGTTGGGTGTGCCGTCCATATTGAGTACCATCGCTGGATTGTGTTGGTACTTACGTAGGTGGAGTTTCAACGAGTGGCAGTACTTAGTAGCGTAATTGCAGTCGGCGCAACGGTATTGATAAACATTGGAATGGGATTTCAGGTGAGAGTTCAGCATGGACTTGTTGACGCAAGAATATGAGCATTGGCTGCACTGGAACGGCTTCGAACCTAAATGGTTTCGCATGTGATATTCCAAGTGATGCTTGTATTCGGTGACGAAGGGACACTTTCGACAGCACAACATCTTTTCAGGCTTGATATGCTCTTTGCTGTGCTCCCAAAAGCTGAGCTTTGTGACAGCAACGAATTCACACTGTTTGCACTTAAACGTTTTCACTTTTCCGTGAGAGTTGACCGCTGGGACTCTTAGACCGGGCTCGTCGTCGAAGTCATCGTCGAGGCCGGAACCGTCGCGGCCGTCGTCTGTGTCAGGTTTGTTCTGATTGCCGTCAAATCCGGAGTCGTGATAGGGTTCATACGAACGCCTTTCTCGATCTCTATCCGGTGAAGACGGCGTTCCCGGTGATTTGGGTGGTGTCTCGTCGGCTCTTGATAATGGCGTAGACACATGAGCGGGTGGCGCTATCGTTCTTGGCGAATAAGACGTCTCGTATCCGGGTGAATGCCGAGAATCTTCATTGATTCGTGCTTCAAAACCGGGAGGCGTGAGCAGATTGTACGGCATACCGTTCTGATATGATCCCAAATGCATGCCAAGATTTGCCTTTGCTTTTAACGGCATTGATTCATAAAATGGTAAAGGTTCGCCCGAGCTGCCCACGCTACGTGGTGAATGACCATTGGAGTCCTTGCTTGAAGATGATGGCGATGCGCTATGAAAGCCTTCGGAGTAGAAACCACTCGTTTGATCCTTTGCAAAACCTCCGTCTTCCATTGGTTCGGATTTCTAAAAAGAACAACACGGTTATAGTTACTAATGTCAATTTTGATCTATAATAAATCGTTAAATTTGTACAAAAAACAATATAGTTAAAAGTGAAGGGCATAAAGTTTGTAAGAATCCGTGCTTACAAGTTGCGTACGCGCTCTTTTTTTGAGTAATGTTGTAGTGCAGGGAATATCAAGTAATATCTATGTTTTATATTTGTTGTATTATTTTCATTTCATTTTTTGTTTTATCTCATGCATAGTTTTTTTTTGTATTTGTCTTTTAAATCCAAAAGACGTTATCCAATAGATCCTTATTTGTTGTTTCTTTCTTTCACATAATAGTGGTGAATAACTTACAACAGCTGGAGGCTGCAGCAGGGAGCCCCAGTTTGGAGTGTGAGCGTGAGGACCGGTCGGCATGCCGGCCGGCTTAGCACAGCTCAGCATTCCTGTAACAGAAACTGATTTTAGCACGCTGTTACTATAAATTGACAACGACGAATGACGGTAAAAGAGACTCCATCGTCATTTTGTCCCATGAAGGTCGTTAGGGATGACTTTGGGAAAAGCTTAAAAAAATTCATGGTCTCTGATACATAGACATATCATTATGTAAATGCTAGATGTGAAATAGCCAGATCAGTAATTTCATACTGTAATTAATCCTTAACGCTTGTTACGTTATTACTGGATATCCTTTTTATCCTATCATCAGCAATGGAATGTTGTTGATAATAGGCCTCCCCATATTTTTCTACCGACTTCAAAAAGGAGGAGGTACTCAATTCGACTGTATTTTTTTAATGTGTGTTACCTCATAACTTTTTACTGGGTAAACCGATTTCGATGATTCTCTTTTTATTTGAAAGCTGGTGCTTTACATGTGGTCCAAGTATCAAGGTCTGGCCAATAGTTTCGAGATATTCTTAATAATTTATATTGAAGTGGGTTGTACAAAATTTTTAATTTTAAATTATTCTCATTTGGGATATTTGCCATATTTTCTACGCCTTGCAGACGGGTTGGCTACCGCTGGTTCCTTATTATTGAGTTGTTATAATAAAGATGCTGCTGTCAATATCCTTCAGTTTCCCTCTATCGGCTCTTACGTCCTTATGACACCAATGGGATGATATGGTTTAGTGGATTCTGTTACGTTGCGACTCCAGGGCAAAGTAATCTATCTCTCTCTCTCTCTCTCTCTCTCTCTCTCTCTCTCTCTCTCTATATATATATATATATATATATATATATATATATATATATATATATGATATTATATATAGGTAGTAATAAACGTTCTTGTTCTGGATACGATAGATGTTATTTCTAGTTTATAATATATGTATACTTGGAAGCGGTGGAAGATATGTTATAGTAAATACTGCATATGAATGTAGGCCAGAATATCACAAAATACATTATGACAAATATGTAATGAGCGATAGGGTTTGTCCACTTGGGCTTACCTTTGCTTTGTTGATTCAAAAATGTTTATTATTTTTTACGTTACATGTAGGTAATTTATTTTATTTCTAAGATACTGTAATTGTAAAATGAAGTTTGCATATGTTTCAAATTAAATACGGAGGGCTCTTAAGATAGCTATATCGTATTCCACCGTACAGATATATATTAAAAAGTAAAAAAATAAATAAAAACATTCTGAATTAATTTGCATACAACGCATATTGCTAACATATAATTTTCATTGCAGTGTTTGCTTTTGGAATAATATTTTTGCATTTGGAAGCAATTTTCATACAACACATTTTTTACTACGTGACTCTGTTGAATTTGCGAATATACTTTTATAAAAATCACTACGATTTTTAAATCATTCGTGTTTTTATCGCATATCGATTGCGTAATTGGCATGTTTTCGCAAAATTCGCTTACAAAGCGTATAGGTAATATAAAAATTGCAACTTCTGGCACGTAGGTACGCGGTTTTAGTATTGTCGCAATAAACAATCGGCTATTAAATAATTGTCAAAGGTCCCGACGGCGACCGGGCTAATGATGCATTTAATATCATCTATGTAATTACTGTTGTAAACCTTAATTACTGTTGTAAATTATCCTTCAATAATCGTGTGTGGTTAGCACGGTGTAAAAAAGAAATTATAATAACTTTTAATTTAAATTTTAATCTGCCATTATTATATTTTTGTTTATATAATATGTTTATGTATACGTCATATCTTCCTTAGATTCCTCGGGCCACACATAAATACATAGTATATAAATACTAAGTTACGTAGTACTTCATTTTTATTAGAAAAGCGAATAAAAACTATAACATTAAAATTTGAAGAGAAATTACTTAGGAATATTTTTTTAATAAAACTTCAGTTTTATTTTATTGTAGTATTGAGCAATATGAGGCATATAAAATAATTGTTAAATAATTTGTATTTGAAAAAATGTTTAATATAAACAACTAGCGGATATAAAACCTACCTTCACCTTTTGATACTGTAAATATTGATGAACACAGCACACAATAATTGTTCGCATTAAATATTCAACTTCACTTCAATTTATCTATCACCAATATTATGCTAGTAGAAAAACGCACGTAAAATGTCCTAAGATTTTTTAACACAACCCTTCGCTGTTACGGCAGAATGCGATGTGACCACTGTCGCTTCTCACAATGAACTGAAAAAAAAATCTGTCAATTTTTATGCCCCAAACATCGATAAATGTATTTCACATTTGAAGGCGACGAGTTTTCTGGTGCGAGCGTAACAGTACGATTGTCTGCTACGTGTGTCCCTTTTACACCCTCACAGCCTATTTTTACTCGAACCAATGCGATCCAAGCTACTGTGGGTGGGGATCAAGTTATTAAGTTATTGTTTATGTATTAATAATAATAAAAAATAAGACTCCCGTCGCTGCCGGCCGCCTTTATTAGAATAGAGCATAGTCGTATCAGTTATTATTTGGCAATAAAAGAGAAATATGCAAGCAAATGAGAATGTTTTTCCATTGTACCGTTAACGGTCTTAATGCGATTTTATGTTTGTTTGTAGGGTGTTTATTGTTGATTATTATTCGGTCTTTTAACTTACTTATTACGAATAAAAACATCTATGCAAACAATGCAATATTTAATATTTAAAAATGTTGAATAGACTTCTAAGTTAGTAAATAGAAACGTAAACTACTCTATCTTATGTAATAAGGAGTAAAAAAGTCCCGTATAAAAAACATGTTGAAAGGGCAGGCGCAGCGAAGGGGCGTCGAGCTTTTTACTGGGAATAGACAGCCAATCACAGAGGCGCGCTTAAAAAAGGAATGATTGTTTTTTTTATTGGTATCCGAGAAGCTTTGACCAACTGAAACAGCTATTATGTATTACTTTGTTTCTGTCTATAGAGCTGAAATACAATATACCATAATATTATATCTCGTAGAACTTCCGTATTTCTTTTGAATAAACATGTTTTTGTTTGTTATTATATTAATTTACTTATATTATATCTTTTTAACTGCACTACTAAAATAGTTCAGGCTCAGAAGGGCTAGAATCCAGAGCCGTAAATCCAGTTAAAAAAAAACTAAAATAGTTTTTTCTTAGGATGCTATGTCGAATTACTAAATCAAAATTATACTTACCTATTAACTAAAACAGTTTACACAATATAAGTACAAGTAGATAAAGTTTGTTTGGATAAATGTGACTTAAATTATATCTATTAAAAATGTAGTTGCGATTTGAATACAGATAGTTATTAGTGGTAGGACTCCGTTTCTGTCTATGATTCCAGATAGGTAAGAGGGTGGTGCCTAGCCTCTTACCTATTTCTGTCTCTTTCTGCCTCCTTCAAAATACTACCTTACTAGCACTGCTTGCATTGCCGTGTTCCGATCTGAAGGTTATAGAAAGCCAGTATAAATCACATTTACAACCAGTTCTAAGGGATGACAACACATCTGTAGTACTTTGTATAACGTTGGCAGCAGGTGTCCATTGACTGCAGCAGTCACTTACCATCAGGTAAACTGTAAATTATTTATTATTTCAGTTTTGTAAGTAAAAACCGATAAGAAGTTAGTGTTCACCCGAATATCAGTTTTTGGCCGAGGCCGATACCGTAGGCGATTGTTCGAAGCTGACCTACGGCCGATGCCAATAATTTCTATATATTTGCTAGATGCACTAGTAACAAGTAGAGATGATGATGATGCCAAAATGATGATATTATTGCAATTAACATCTGGTGGAGGCGTAAGAAAACCTCATCACTCCGTTTCCTCCCGTGGGTGCTGTAAGAGGCGACTGTGGAAAATGCAGAGAAATCTTATGGCTTTTGATAGAATGCGGTATAAACATGTTATTCAGGCCACACGTAATATCCAGACAGGCGACGGAGAGCAGCGTCAAATGTAACATGACGTCTAGTAGTGAGATCGTCAGTCCACCAAGCGTGATTATTAAACCAAATGCTTCCTACAATAACTGGAGAGGCCGAAGTCTAGCTGTTGACTTTTATGGGCTGATAAAGATAAATATATATTTTTGACTAGCTGTTCCCCGCGACTTCGCTCGCGTGTTATTTGGGGTTTTAACTTTTTTGCGCGGAACCCTAATTCTTTTTCTAAAATAAAAGTAGCCTAAGTTACTCCTTGTGACATCAGCTATCTGCCAGTGAAAATCCCGACAAAATCGGTCCAGCCGTTTCGGAGATTAGCCGGAAAAAACAGACAGACAGAGGTACAGACAGACAGACAAAAACTTTAAAAATTGTATTTTTGTTATTAGTACCGTATATACTTTCATATGCATTTAGTAAAAAGCTGTAATTTTGACATTACAAAGAGACACTTCAATTTTATTTATTTGTATAGATTTACAAGAATACTTAGTTGATTGAAAAATAACATTATAAAGCAAAAATATTCAGCCTTAGAGCAATGAAATTAAGTTAAACATTAGGTTGACAACTAATAAAATTGTCAGATTTTTTATGAGCTTAGTTTTGCTAAGCTCAGTGCGTTGAACCGTTTTAGAAACTTTCTTCCGGTCAAGATAAAGATAACTCCGGTTCAATCTCTTATTTTAACCATTATTGATTGTGCAGATGTACATTTTCCTGGTCTTATTGAGACAAGCTGGATCATCTCGTCTTGTTGTAACTTTTGTCTTCACATGTTTGATCATAATATATCCTCATTTCGATCTCAGCTTAAATGGCTTCCTATTCGTCCGTGAAGACACGTTAGAATACTTATCTACCACAGTTTCTTATATTTTATTCCATATTTCATTTCCTGCGTTAGACTCATGATATATCTACAACTTCGTTAATCAGATGCGTTGTCACCCCTGAGTGCTAAGAATACCACGAATTCAGTAAAAGGGGTTTCCGGTTTTCTATAGTTACCATAGAAAACCCAGCAGCGTTAAGTTAAGATGCTTTTTTACGCTGGTATGT